AAATGAAGAAATGTCTTAAACAACAAATATTCAACTTCATCCCGTAATTTACGAACTCAGATATATCAGTTTCTGTCCCCAAACAAATTTTTACATGTAAATTATTTCAGCTGCAAGAAATAAACACTGATTGAAATCTTGTCCAAATTATAGCATGGTAAATTATGGTACTCCGGTCTTCCTGGAAACATTTTGGGAATCAAAAAAATTATTTTAGAAATCAAACGGACAAGACAAGAGTCAAAACAAATAATTATTTCAGTGATACTCCCCGAACACCGTACCAGACATGTACATCAATCAATAACCAAATAAATTTTGAACTATTTGGTAAAAGGTAAATACTTTATTGAAGCGGAGGTCACATAATATGTAATTTTGGCCAAGGTAACGGTTGCAAATGTGCAAAACGAAAACAACTTTCGGGCGAAATTAAAACAGAACCTAGATAAAGCTGCATACGAATTTTCAAGACTTTTTTTTCTTAATTTGGCTAAATTCTAAACTCCCGTCTTGGTCCTGAGGCAAATCGAAAAATCAGACTCGTCAAACACTGTGTTCAGCTTATATTTTCATCTTTTCATCTGTTTCAAAATAACGTCTGTCTAATAACTATCTTTTATCAGCCTTTTACACAAAAAATAATAAATGTATAAGGGCGATGTGTCACGCGACACATCACACATTAACGTAACCGAATAATTTCAAAAGGAACTCCAAATAATTATTCCAAATTGTTCTCTGTAAAATTCTTATTCTTGTTCTTCAATGCTCCTAATCAAACGATTTCATGACAAAATGATTTCCATTCATGGATAAAATGAAATTCCCCGACTCGTCACTGAGCAGAAAACAATTTTCACAGACCTACAGCAATCTTACATCTGTAAACTGATTCACTGATGGCCGGGTTGTCCAAAGCCCAATTAAGCTAACCCAGAATTAGCGAGAATTTTGATTTTAATTTTGTAACATGTCGGTGACGTTTTCTGTTTATATTTTTTGTCCGTCAGGTTTGAGTCTGAATTTGAATAATCTTTAACTACACAAAACATAAGCAGTGACAATCCTTTTGTTTTTTCAAGAAAAGTGAATACTTTGGCCGGTTAACTTTTAA